GGTGAGTCCCAGGTATTGTTGCCGTCGTAGGATTGCTGCGGTCCTGAGCCATTTTGACGTCCGCGACCTCGACCCCGATTTCCGCCGCCATAGCCTTGGCCTTGTCCGTAGCCTCCACGTTGACCGGAGTTGCTGTCACCATAGCACGTTCCGCCATAGCTGCCGGGAGTACCGCCATGTGAGCTTCCGTGAGAGTTGCCGCTGGCTCGGTTCGTGAGGAGAGCTGTGGTGCCCGAGTCGGTGGGACTCGTCCAGTGTTGATCCAGAAGCATGAGGGCAGAGCGGACCTGCAGAAACATGGGCATGGGATCCTGAAATTGCATGAATGATGTTTGTGCCTCAAGATCTGCATGTAGACCACGGAGCATTTGGAGAACGAGTTGGTGTTGGGAGACTGGTGCATCGACATTGTCCAGCCAGTTGGCAAGATTCTGCAGTTGTTGACAATAAGCTGCCATGGTGGAGTTGCCCTTGATTGTGGTACGAAATTCATGCTCCAACTGCATGGCCCTGGCATGTTTGTTGTCGTGGAACAAATCGTGGACGACTTTCCAGAGAGCAGAGGCAGTAGAAACAGAGGAGATTACCAGATTGGAGACCTCATCGGTGATGGTAGAGAGAATCCAACCCTGGAGGAGAGCGTCGAGTTGGAACCATTCGTCGTCGTCATCAGAGAGGGGGGCGATAGAGCCATCGATGTAGCCTTGGAGATTGAACCGTCGAACCAGAAGGAGGAACAGCCGACTCCACTTCTTGTAATTAGGTTGAGAGAGGCTAAGTTGAACTGGAACATGGAGTTTCACGTTGGATACAGTTGTGAAAGCAAGATGTGGGGGTTTGGAGGAGAGATTTTGAGAGGTGACCTCGCTAACTTCGGCCATGGTGAGGGAGAGATGAAGGAGAGGTTGCCGGTTGGGAGGTGGGGCGTCACCGCTGGTTTGGGAGCCGCAGGAAGAGGCGGCGCAAGGAGGAGGGGGGCGGCGGGACTAGGCCGAGAGGGAGAGGAGAAAGAGAGGTAAATTAGGGTTTTGTGATTTTAGGCTCCGATACCATGTCTATATATACACAAGGATTCCTAATCCTATACAAGGTAGGAGACAATAATAGGAAACAATATATTTACATTAAATATAGAATATATATTTAACACAATCCATTATGTTCGAAACCTCCTTCTTGAGTAAAGGTGACTTTGTTGAGGTAGATTCTAGAATATACTCAATCTAGTTCTTTGGTTTTAAACAAGTACCTTTATTGTTTTCGTTTTTTAACATGTCCAAGCCCTGAATGAAATCAAACATTTGTTTGAGTTTTTTTATAGAGAATAAAAGGGTATCATCTCTTCCTCAAACTCAGTCTCTTGTTTCATACAAAACCCCTTTCGCCTTTGATTTTTTTGAAGTCGCGGCTTTGAAAAAAACAATGTCATCCCTTCTCAAGGAAATAGCAGATTTATCAAAATCTTGTGGCATTGAAGAAGATTTTTTTTTGTATAGATTCAAAATCCCCATTTTTATTTATAAAATGAGATATTGTAAAACTATTAAGCACTCAATAAAATTCCTCAATTTTGGTAACAACACTTCTTTGTGGAATTTATTCGTTTATCCAAAAATCGTTAAACCGTTGCTGTCCCTTTTCTTTCTTTATATTGTAACAACCTCACAGAAACATAAAGTCAAGATTCCAAAATAGTTTGTGTTTGTTTTGAAAGGTTTTGTTATGTATGGTTACAAAAAACTCCATCAAGCCCGACCCTTTTTATAAGAGATTTTCTAACGACATTGAGTAGAACATCTCAGGGGTTAAACCGTCTCTGCTTATATAAATCATAAAAATTGTTTTCTAGCTACCTTATGCTTAGTATATATTTTAATTTATCTACAATCACATGTGATATAACAATTCCTAAAATAGTTGTAAAATCAAATAGTTGTAATATTAAGAATTGATAACCCACTCACTTGTTTTTGATGTATTTATCCAGTCTTAATATTTCTTCATGCTGTTTGAACGGTCCCAAGCTGTTGTAGGGGTGGTGCTCCTCTATCTCACTGGATTGACATTATTTGGTAGCAGTGCTTCTCTCTTGAGGGAATGAAGTAACCCATTCCAAAGGTAATGATGGCTATGCTAGGATATTTTTTTTAATGGAGTATGTGATAGGGGGCATAAGACTGGTACACTCCGAAAATCTTGTCAGCCCTCTCTCTTAAAGGAGTAGTTAGCCCTCTCTCTTAAAGGAGTAGTTCTCTTTACTTTGAGAAAATAGGGCTAAAAATCACTCCCTGATATTCCATCAATGAGAACTCCCAAGTGACATATAAATATAGAGTAGGCCAAATCTCCATCAATTGCTCTTATTTCTTCTTGCAGGAAATGTGTGGAAATAGAAAGCTAAGGTCCCTCCAATTAAATGAAGATGGACATGGCTTAGCAATAGTGGTAGGTTTGGTAGTTAGCTTTGCATGAGTTTATATGGAGAGAAAAAGAGTAGGGTCCATTACTCTTAATTTGGAGGAAACAACTCCTTGTGTGTTTTTATTTTCTTTGGCAGAGGATGTGAGCAAGGCAATGACTCCCTTCCATATGCACCTCACATTTCTTTGCTATGTAATGGTAATACTTTTGCAAATTTATTGCACCCTTTCACAACTCAAAGTTATTTCGAAAGTGTGTTTCATCTGTAAATTTCCAAAACTTGTGTAAAAGGTTTTATACAAGTATACCAAGTAGGTTATTATTAAAAAATAGTGAGTCATTTGTGCGCACCTTTGTAAAAACACTTCATGTTTCCAATTCTACTCTTTATGAAAATGTGAACAAAAGACTCCATGTTCTTTTGTAAATATTTATTCGGAAAAATAGAATAGATTAAAATTGTACTCCTTAGAATTGTCACACCATTCTAATCTTATACATTTCTAAAATCAATTTAAAAGTTTAATACGCGAGTTTTGCAAATCAAATATTGCTCTCTGTCAAAAATATTTATTTTGAGTTGACTTCACATGTGTACTTTGACATTTCAAAAAAATACAAGAATGCAATAAAATATGTTACCACTTATTTTTTTCAAATATATACCCAAATTTATATTTTTTTTCCTTCATTGGAAAATCTTTATATATATATATATATATATATATATAATATACATACTTTTTTTTGTTAAAAACATGGAGTAAAATGTTTGTAAAAGTAAATTTGTCATTTAAAAAAAAATTTACTCTATTTTCAATAAGAATATTTTATTAATACGGACACGCTATTACAAAGATGTGACACACACTTCCGCTAAAGATTAAAGAAATAATACATGATAACGTAGAGTATTTTAAAAACCACAGATTTAACATCGAACACCACCAAATGCAAATCAACTAAAACCACTTTCTATGTGAAATAAAGGGTCAAATATTTTATACACTGACAGGTACAATTTGTTATAAATTATGTTTGTATAAGAACACATTAACACATGATGATGGGATTAACCCGATCAGATGGCGGACCAAGAACGGAATAAGAATAAGGAAAATATAATCTCGCAATAATATTCTTAATTGGGTGTGTAATCAATTGTCCTCCCTCCTTTACAATGGCGGATTCTCCCTCCTTTTATAGTATTTATAGTTTCTAAGTTAGGGTTACACATTATGGGAAGTTTATGGAGATCATGAGGTCGTGATTCCCTTCCTTTCTAGCCTTGATTTCTTTCCATTTTCCCATGATTTGGAGCGTGGGCCATGTGTCCTGTTCCTTCTTCGGACCAGGTCGTCTCAGTTCAGCCCATGATTGGGCCGTCCGCCTTGTTGCCCATGCGCGCCTTGTTGGGCCTGATCCGTTACGCGCACCTGGAGTCGTTTACCTTGCACGATTGTGGGCCTTTATCGGGCCTAGAGTCGGGTCCATCAGACCCGATATCCATCACAATCCCCCTAGTTTCCTGGCGACGTGTCGCGAGGAAACTAATGATAAGCCGCCTTCGGTTTTCGTGTCGGATTGGAAAGGTCGCACTCGAGTGCCTCGAGTCTCCCCTCACAACGGATATAACCCCTTCCAGACTCATCTTCTTCTTTCTACGTTTCCGAATCTTGACCCGATCCGAACTCCGACTGCAATTGCCCCCAAATTCTCGTTTCTTTCTCCGAAATGGCCCCCTCCATTGACCCTGCAACTTAGGTCCATGAATCCTCTATCATCAAAGAGGATGAACTTCAAGAAATGGAGGAATTCCTGGGAAAAGGCTTCCGGATTCACCATCCTGATGCTGTCGGGGGGATCAGTCTTACTCATAATCCGGATCTCCAGAAATACATGGTCATTCATTACCACTCGGTGGGGAATGGGTTCAGGTTGCCCCTCCATGGTTTAGTTCGCGACATCTGCCAGACCTTCGAGTTCCCCCCTGGTCAAATGACCGCGAATGCACACAAATATGTTGCATCCTACATCTTGCGGTGCTGTGCCCAGGATAGGACCCCAAGTCTGGACGAATTTCTCGCTCTTTTCAGCATCGGTGAACTTTTCCCTTTCTACAGTGTATTTCCTCATCCAAAGTTCCCAGTTTTTGAGAAGGTTGAGGCCAAAATTGACAGATGGGGCCGTCCCTACTTCATCATTGAGTTCCCGGTCCATAGCCCTATAGATCTTCCAGGACTGTTACACCGCGGTTCGCTCTCCCGGACTCCGTTCCCGGTCGCACCCCAGTGGAGGGAGTGTACAACGCCCTAAGAGAGGAGAGGGGGCTGATTTTACATCATTCCCTTCAGGACTCCGGATTGTACAAGAAGGCGGATTTCTACTGTCCTCTGGGTCCCGACACTATCCCGTTTGAAGGGGGATCCTCCCCCGGGACGTCAAAGGCTTCTCCCACTGTAGAATCTCATCCAGTTGGAGATCCCTCTGGGACCAGGCTCAAGGTGGCGCTACTACCTTGGTAATTTGCACCCCATCTACTGCCCTGGATGCTGTCCCCATTTCTGCCATTCCTGGGCTAAGGAAGCCCATACCATCCCAGAAGCGGCCACAGGAAGGGGTAACTGATGACGACTTTCTTCCCAAGAAGAGTAAGGGTGATGGCACCCCTGCTTCGCCCAGCCCCCTGACTACTCCTTCGGGCATTCAAACTGCCACTACCGCTGTCGCATCTGGAGAGCTGGAGTTACCCAACCCAGGTAGCTTGGACTGTGAAGCGGATAAATCTCCTGATCAAGCGCCACCTCGAAGACCAGCGAGGCGATCCCAGCCTGTGGTGGAAAACACCTCCCCGCCAACTGCCGCTGCCTCCCAAGGGATGGAGAAAGAGGTTGGAGGACAGAAGGAACCGGAGGAACAACATTCCGCCGCAACGCCCCCGACCTTCAATCTCCCGATCCGGTGCAGGTTCACGCCGCAGACCTATCTTGTCTTCAAGGAGGGTTGGGCAGGTTTTTCTCGTGATCTGAACTCCTTGAAGGCCTCCCACTCTACCATCTAGGTCAATCTGGAGAAGATGAGGGGATCAGTGCAGAATCCCATAATTCCACAGGCACGCCCTGACCTGCTTGCCCTTGATGTCCTACACTCCATGGAGCAGGTACCCTTCTCTTTCGAAAGTCTCCTTCTCCTAAATTATCCCTTTCTTGACTTTCCTCCCACCTTTCCAGACCCAACAATCACTCCTCACTCTGACTGAGGAATACCTGGGTGGTGCATGGGGTAATTATCCAGCTATGGAGGTCCTAAAGGATAAGGAGTTGGCCGCTAGAGCTCTGCAACAGAAGGTTGGTTCCCTCGAGCAGCAAGTCCAAACCCTACAAAAGGAGAATGCCAGGCTCAAAGCAGATGCCTCAGCGAAACTGCTGGCTGAGAGGTCCAGGGTCAAGTCCCTGCAAGAGCAGATTGCCACCTACCAAGGTAGTACCCAGGACCTGGAGGCACAGTTTGACAAACTCCGGGGGCAAATCTCCTGTCTGGAGTCGAAAGTCTCTGCCCTGGAAGGCAAAGAGGGGAGTCTGAAAGCTGAACTAGTTGAAAGGGAATCCAGGATCTCCAAGTTGGAGAAATCACTCTATGAGGCCAAGCAAGAGGGTGCCCACTTTAGTGAGGTCATGTTGAAACACATGGGGTTGAAACGGGAAGCCCTCCAGAAGCTGGAGAAGGAGAGAAAGATTGCCAATGAGCTCCGGTTGAACGTGGGAGAACTGGAGAAGACTGTGGCTTCCCATCAAGGAGAGGTGGCCGCCTTGACTGCCCGTGCAGAGGCCCTCTACGAAGAGGGGAAATTTGACATGCAGTTCTGCATTTATGAGGCGATCCGGAGTGGTCTTCCGGCTCACCGGACCTTGAATGATTTCATCACATACTACGGCTTGCCTCTTCCTCTTCCTCCCCCAGATTCTCGTGCCAATCTGGGACTTTGATTTTCTTTCTCCCCAACAGTTGTTGCATTTTGCCTTGTAATATTTTTGTTGTATCAACATAGTGATGCTTGTAGCATTTTATCCTTTGTCAATATCTCGTTTGTATTTACATCCCAGTAGATTCCTTGCTTTGGGCTAACTGTTTTCCTCTTGGAATTTTCATCCTTCTTTGGGACTTAGCAAAATCCTTACCTACTTTAAGACTTGGGCTTAACCCACACGCTCGCTCCTGTCACGCTAAGTGACTGGCCCATGTTAAATACGCAGGGCCCAATTCACCCAAGCCCATGATGAGTGGGGCAACCCTAGTTTTCCTCGGGAATCCGCAACTGTTTCTCAATCGGATAAGTGCTTTGACTCCGCGTCCTTCGCACTCCCTCTTAGCGTCACTCGCCCATTTAAGGAACCAGGCAGGACACTTTCATTAACACAGCCAACTTCTCAACATGGCTAATAATGCCAACAGAGTTGTCTTTATTGATCTGACTATCTCTGATTCTTCTTCTGATTCCTCCTCATTAGTATTTCCCTCGCTCGGAGCCCCAACACCTGAATTCTCATTTGGGCCTTCCTCCGCTTCCGATCAATCGGTGACTTCTCCCCCGCCCAGGGGGGAGTACCATCCTCGTCTCCCCCAACCAATATCAGGGGGTATTTTCCCAGATTCCGGCATGCTCCCTGACGGTACCAGGACGGAAGCCTCCTCTGGTCGTCCTGTCACATCCCGTTCACCAGAAGAGGCGCAATCCTTACTCAGAAGCTACCCGGTTGGTCTCCGGCGCAAGGCCTTCCTCCCAACGTTCTCCCTCTCCTCAGCAGTCATATGGACAGAGCCCTGAGGAGTTGGGGGATTATGACATGGGGGGAAATAGGCATCCGTCTACGCGGAGGGAAAAGGACGGAACCTTCCAGGATCCGCCTCCCCCTTTGGCGTAGGCGGAATGAAGCCGTAAATCCTCCCCTCATGCTTCATTGTTCTCATTGCCCTCTTTCATGGGAATGACTGAAGGGTGTCTAAGGGGCATGGCTTTCAATCCCACCCGTTGGTACCCCTTAGTTTTTCTTCTTTTGAAGGATGCATCTAGAGGACAATGGGCTCTCTCCGCACCTCCCCGCTTCGGCATCCTTTTATTGTCCAGGCGGGGCAGCAAGGGCCAGCAGATTCGTTCCCCTTGCCGCACCGTTCCTTATGGATCATTGAAGTGTCGTTTCGCCCAGCCTTCAGATTTTTTCAGTAGTAGGATAGAAGTAGATGAGGGACAAAGTTCATTGTTGTAACCCAAAAGAATGTAATTTTCTATTTGAGTTATCATATGAAAACCTTTATCTCATGTCTTTTAGCGTTTTATTGTTAGATCAGGGACAAGGTTCATTGTTGTAACCCAAAAGAATGTAATTTTCTATTTGAGTTATCTTATGAAAACCTTTATCTCCCGTCATTTATTATAATCATACCCTTGTGGGCCATTGTCTGCATGAAGTAGAAGTCTATGCCTGTTTAATTCTTACCATTGAGGGATGACGTTCTTTCCCAAGTCTTTCACGTCTTTCACCAAGTCTAGTCAAACCTCGGGAACCGATACAACTGCTTCATCCGCCAATCGCCAAGTCTTTCACGTCTTTTAACCATACTTTCTACTTCCCAACGATCCCTTCCCCTTTACTATAAATAGGGAAAGATGATTTTTTGCTGGCTCATTCTTTTCTGATCTCGTCAACATGACAGACAAAGCCCAGGGTAAGGTTTTCATTGACCTAACCCTTTCTGGTACCTCTTCATATTCAGATGACGATCTTCCTGCCTCTTCCGCTCATTCTTGCGCCTTTAGCTCCTAGTCTACCCAGGCTCCCGTCCGGGAGGATAGACTGGGACTCTATAACCCTCCAAGACTTCGCCTTGTACCAGAGGATGCACAAGTCTAGACTTGGATGTTCTTTTCAGGCCGTAGAGGTAGAACTTTCGCGTGAAAGCCGGACAGCTTCTCCAAACCTGCCAAGGTCTCCTAGTGACGGTTCACCATCTGCACCACCTGCATCCCGACCTGGGACGTGGGAAGACTATGACATGGGCGAGGTTGACGATTCCGCCGTGTATCCTTCGTTAGAGAGAAGGAGCCCTTGGAGAGGGCCCCCTCCTCCTTCCAGCTGACTGCATGGATGCAATTGGCCCTCCTTCAGCGCCTAGCCCCCTGCAGATCAGTTTTTTTTCTTGTTTATCTCAAGAGACATTAACTTGTTTGATTCGGGAGTTACCCTCGCGTCCTATTCCAAGGAATGTCCTTTAATTTCAGATTAGGAATAATCGTTGTAATCCAAAGGTATAACCTTCGAATTAGCAATCAATGAACTTCCTCATTCCCTTGTTTCTTTCATCTCATTGGGAACCATTATTGTGAACCAAAGATGTAGCCTTTGACCCATCAATATAGCTCATTGTATTTATTTCTATGCACATCATCAAATGCAAGTACAAATGCTTTTACCTTGTATAAAATCTCATCTCCTGGGGTTTGGATGTGTCGTGGGAGCTTACCTCATCTGCCCCTGACCTCCGTTCCTCCGGGTTAAGGCATAATCTTATCTACATTGGATCAATTGAGCGCCAACCCTCGAAGTGTGTTTGCTCGGTTGATCCGTGTTAGTGGAATACTAAGCTTCAGCCCTCGAAGTCTGCTTGCTGTTCTTCCTGAATTCCGGGTTGTAAAGGCCCTCGAAGTCCGATCCCAACCCTTCCTTCATATTTCACGGAAGCATAAACTTATCTACCTCCGGGGGGGCGTAAACTTATCTACCTCCCCTATCTTTAGTAGGTGGAATAAACTTTTCTACCTCCCTGTAATGTGGGTCTATCTTGCCCGGGGGTGTTCTCCCCCCCCCCCTTTTTTTAAAGAAATCTACAGAACAATGGAATTGCAAAGACACTTGGCTTGAGAGGAAAGAAATTCTTTATTGTTGAAACAAATGAGAATGCCTTAATCGAAAAAATAGAGTGCGTCAATTACAAAACAATTTTACTGATAAAATTTTACCAAGTGCTCTACATTTCATGTCCTATCTATTTCTTTTCCCTTTGAAGTCATCAACTTGTAGGTACCTGGGCAAACAACGGCCTTGATGATATAAAGTCCTTCATACTTTTTGGCCAACTTTCCGCCCTTAGTTGGTTGACTCTTTTCTCGCTTTCTTAGGACGTAATCCTCCACCTGGAACGCCCTCGGTTTCACCTTACTATCAAAGTAAGATTTCACCTGACGACGGTAATTCTCTCCCCGGATTCGCGCTTCATCCCTTCTTTCCTCCAAGAAGTTAAGCTCAATGGCCTGATTCTACTCATTCACTTCCGGGTCATATGTTATTTCCCTCCTGGTTGGGATCACCATTTCAGCTGGTGCCCAGGCTTCAAACCCATAGGCCAGGCAAAAAGGAGTGTCACCCGTGGCCCTTCGCGGAGTGGTCCTATACGTCCATAGGATTCTGGGTAGTTCATCCACCCATTTGCTTCCTTCCGACAGCAACTTCTTTTTTATTCCACTTATAATCATCCTGTTGACATTCTCCACCTGACCATTAGCCTGGGGATAGGCTACGGATACCTTCGTATGCTGAATTCCCCAGGTTTTGAGGTAGTCTTGGAACTCCACTTCCTCAAACTGAGTTCCGTTGTTGGATATGATCTGCTTCGGAACCCCAATTCTACAAAGTATATTGGTTCCCACGAAGTCGGTCATCTGCTCCCCTGTGATCCCAGCAAGTGGATCAGCCTCTACCCATTTGGTAAAATAGTCTATGGCCACCACTATCCACCTTGCCTGTCCAATTCCTTTTGGCAGGGCACCCACGATATCGATCCCCCTCATGGAGAAAGGGATCACCGAACTAATGGGCGTGTAATTTGTGGCTGGCCTCCCGGGTATATTCTGAAACTGCTGACAAGTTGGACACTTGCGCAAATACTCCTCACAATCCTTCCTCATCGTTGGCCATAAATATCCCTAGATTATCGCCCTTTTAGAGACAGAGTATGGGCCCTGATGTGCCGCACATACTCCTTCATGTATTTCTTCCATAAGCGTTTTTGCTTCTGCCGCTCTAAGACAGCGGAGCAAAACACCGTTATAGGACCGCTTATAAAGGATTCCCTCCTGCACTTTGTAGGTGGGTGCTCTCATTCGTAACAACCGGGCTTCTTGGGGATCTTCCGGGGCTACCCCGTCCTCAATGTATCTAGCCAACCTGTCTAACCACTCCGGGGGGTCGGCTGATAGCCAGAGCACTTCATCCCTGTTGATACTGGGGGTTTCCAACTCCTCCACAGTTGCTAACTTGCTTATATACTCCGGCGATTCAGCGCTAAGCTTGGACAAAACATCAGCTTCCGCGTTGTATCCTCTGGGTATGTGCTCTAGCTTATACTCGAATTTTCCCAATATTTCCAAGGGCAAGTCTCTGTATCTCTTCATCCTCTCTTCCTTTGCTTCGAACTCCCCACTGATTTGTCCCACAACCAAGCGGGAGTCGCTATATACCTGGACCCTGGACACCCCTAGCTTGCTGAGAATCTTCATTCCATTAATTAAGGCCTCATATTCGGCTTCTTTGTGGGATACGCGGAACAGAAATCTGATAGCGTAATATATTCAGAAACTTTCCGGAGTGATCAAGACAATAACTGCTCCATAAGATCGGGACCAGGAAGATCCGTCGATGCTCATCACCCACCAGCCATCTTCTACCCGGGTTTCAACCCGGGCTCTTGTCATCTCCCTAGCCGTACACTCAACCTGAAAGTCAGCGAGTGCCTGCCCTTTGATCGATGGACGCGGCCTGAACTCCACATTGTACTGACTGATGAAGACCGCCCACTTGGTCATTCGGGCGGATACCGCTGGACTTCGAGTAAGTGACGACAAGGGCTCATTGGTGAGTACCACAATCCGGTGAGCTTGAAAGTACGGGGTTAATCTCTTCGCCGTCTAGAAGACCTCTAACATGGCTTTTTCTGGACGGGAATACCTCAGCTCCGCATCTCTCAAGGTCTTACTGACATAGTAGACTGGATGCTGGGCCCCGTTCTCTTCTCTTACAATCAAAGTACTGACAGTCTGCAATTGCTAAGTATAACATCAGGACATCCCCGGGTCCCGGCTTGGATAACACCGGAGGACTCGCCAGATACTTCTTCAATTCTTCGAATGCCACTTGACATTCTTGCGTCCACTCAAAGGTCGCCTTCTTCTTGATTACAGTAAAGAATGGGTGCGCCTTCTCCGCTAACTTTGAAAGGAAACGATTCAAGGCCTCCAATCTCCCCGTCAGCCGCTAGACCTCTTTCGCTGTCTTTGGGGGTTCCATCTCCATGATGGACCTTACCTTTTCCGGGTTAGCCTCAATCCCTCTTCGGCTAACCATGTGCCCCAGGAATTTTCCCCCTTGGACAGCAAAAGTACACTTCTTCGAGTTCAATCTTAAGTTTAACTTCATCATGATTTCAAAAACCTCTTCAAGGTCCCGGACGTGGTCTCAGGCCTCTCTGGACTTGACAATCATATCATCAACATAAGCTTCCATGGTTCGCTCCAAGACAGCTTTGAACACCTGAGAAACCATCCGGGTGTATGTTGCCCCGGAATTTCTAAGTCCAAATGCCATCACCAAGTAACAATACATGCCCTCAGGAGTAATAAAACTTGTCTTCTCAACATCAGCCGGGTGCATTCGAATCTGATGGTAGCCACTGAAGGCGTCCATGAAACTCATCAATTCTGATCCGGTAGTCTCATCCACCATCTGGTCAATATTGGGGAGAGGAAACTGATCCATCGGACATGCTTTGTTCAAATCCGTGTAGTCGACGCACATTCTCCACGAAGGAGGCTTAGGCGCCAAGACTACATTTGCCAACCAATCCGGGTAATGCACCTCCCGAATGTGTCCAATACTCTTCAAGGTTGTCACCTCCTTCTTCACGAAGTCTCTCCTTTCTTGCGACAGATGCCTCCGCTTCTGCTTCACCGGTTTAGAATCCTGCAAAACATTGAGACGATGAATTGCAATCTTGTGATCCAACCCCGGCATATCAGCTGGACTCCATGCAAAGACCTTGCTGAATCTCCTAAGAACAGAGATTACTCGTGACCTGAGTTCAGCCCCCAGGCCCTTTCCAATTCTAACCAATCTTCCCGGCATGCTTGGCTCCAATTCCACTTCTTCTATGTCGCCTGCAACTTCAACTCCAGGACGCCTTTCTTCGGCTCTTAAGAGCTGTGCGGTCACCTCCCCCACCTGGGTATTGTATCTGATAGGTTGTTTAGTTGCCTTCAAATGCCACGCCCGGGACACCCTCTGGGATCCCCTGGCAACTCCAAGCCCACGGGGGGTTGGGAACTTTATGCATAGGTGACGAGGTGAGATGACACACTCCAAATATTCTAACCCGGGTCTTCCCATAATGACATTGGTGTTGGAGACTATTCCCACTACAACGAACTCCATGTCCAATTTCTGGGTGGCCTTAGTATCTCCTATCTCGACCGGCAGGGTTACCACCCCCTCCGGTTCAATAGATTTGCCCGTGAACCCGGTCAGGGGAGCCTTAATGGGAAATAACTCATCTATCGTCAAACCAAGAGCCTTGTAAGTATTAGAAAATACAATCGGCTCAATTTTCAGCTTCTAACCTTCCAGTTGGGCAGGGGCCACCACCTTATTGACCATTGCCGCACTAGCCCACTTTTTTCCGACTTGTGGCCAAATCCCCACCAATGTTCCCACCGATGATGTAATTACACCCATGGTGCCTCTTCTGCCGGTGTGGCGTTTCTCTCGGGCCTCGGCCTGGGCCACGTGCCCTTCTCTACGCTTCCCACTCTGAGCATTCCCAGGATTTCCCCCGTCCCCATCTTGTACAAACTTCTTCAGATGGCCCCGGCGGATTAGCCTGGCCATCTCATTCTTCAAGGTATAACAGTCTTCCGTGTTGTGATCATTCTTGCGGTGGTAAGCACACCATTTCCCAGTGTCCTCCACATTGCAGACCTTCTGGGAATAGGTGGGATATGTCATTAGTCCCTGCTGTGCAGCATGGGCCATGACCTCTGCCACCGGTAATGTAAACACTGGATTAGCAGACTTGAACTTCTCCGAGGTCCCAGGTTTCGTGCCCTTCAGGCCATCCGGGAAGCCCTGCTTCTTGTTCTTGAAAGACTTCTTGTTTACCGCCTTCTCTTCTTCCATGGGAGTCTTCTCTTTCTTCTCCTCTTTCCTCTCCTCCAAGGTCACATACCTTCCGGCATGTACCATTGCTTCCTCAAAGGTATCCGGGGGATGAGTTGTGAGATCGGTATGAAGGAGACCATCTTGCAGTGCCGCCATGAATATGGCTAACCTGGATTTATCGTCGGTTCCTTCAACCTCCCTGGATTCTTTTCTCCATCTGACGAGGAAGTTCTTCAAGGATTCCTCGTGCTTCTGCCGCACTGAGGCCAAGTGGGTAAAATGCTTTTTGGGACGGCAGTTCCTTGCAAAATGCTCTAGGAACCGCAATCCCAAGTCCGGATCGATCCGGCCGGAATGTGATTCACCCAATCCGCGACCTTGCTATCAACCGTCTGCACGAAACATCGGCACATCAATGCGTTGCTGGCATCAACGGCAATCATCACCTGGACATAGCTATTTATGTGTTCTTGGGGATCCGATTCCCCATCATAACGCCTGAAAAATGGCACTTTGAATCCCTGAGGATACGGTTTTGCAAAGATCTCCGGGGCGAGCGGAGTATTCGTCTGGGTAGTGAACACTCGTCCCCTGTTTATTTTCCTCTGCATCTCCTGGATCTGTTGTCTCAAATCCTGGAATTCGCCAGCTTCCGGCACTTGTGGCCCCAGACGTTGCGCCATTGGGACCCTGGCTTGACTCTGAACTTCCTCTTCCTCCAAGACCACCAATGGCTGTGTTGGCGCTTGGCTCCCACCCCGGCCAGTCTGCTGCTGGGGTTCACGGTTAGAAGATGCCACATGGCTGGTCTGGAGTCGTACCCAGCCCTGGGGTGCCTTGTCCGGATTCTTCCCCAGCCTCTCACTAACGTGAGCCCTCTGGTGAGATATCCTTTCAAAAACTGTTCCCCGCGGGTTTCCGTTTCCGTTGCCTACAACTTGACTCACGGCCCTGGTTCAATCCCCATTCGCCCTATTATTCCGGGCCAACTCCTCCGCCTTCCGCCTAGCGATAGTCTGTCTCTCCCTCTCAACCTCCTCTGGATCGTGAAGCTCCTTGTAACACCCCAACCCGCGTAACCCGAACCCGTGAGACAGCGGACCGGTGTGCCACTGGATTGGTATCCGAATATACAACATTTTCAAAACAATTTAAAACAAACATTCTATCAATACTTATAAAAATCCATCGGAGTAATTTAAAATAATGCAGAAGCCTTTTAAAGTCAAACAACTTGGGATCTTGCCCGAAAACGTAATAAACATTAAAGTTAATTAAATAAAGCATAACTACAGATTAAAGAGACAGCCACGCCATCATACATCTCCTCCTCAATGCCCTCCGGGATCGGCTCTAGGTTCATCTGTCTGATCACCTACGGACAACAAAAAGGAAAACAACGCTATCCGCTCAGCATTGACGCTGAGTGGCACTCCATTGTAGCACAAGAATAGACATAATAATTCAATAATTAAGATCCCGCATATGTTTATCCTTTTTAATAAAAATCAATTCGACTTTAAATTCGGTTCTTTAGACGGTTGACCAACAGTCAACTTATTTTCTTTCTTTTCAAAACGATTTAGGTTTTAAGGGTTCCTCATTAACTCTTTGACCACCGGCCAAACAAAATTAGACTTTCACGAAAGTCTAACCACTTGACATTTATTGCCTATGACGGAGATAGCCTCAATCCGTAATACCGAAGATAGCCTCAATTCGGTGGAGGTAGGATCCCTCGGGCGATAGCCTCAAACCCAAGATCACAGACCCTCGTGCGCACGTCTTAACCTCACTGACCAGGCCCTGCAACCGCCCGAGCAATGGCCAGTTTCTATGTTCGACATATTAAACCAATTGATCCTAATTACTGATTAGAATTAATTAATTAACTTAATTAATTCATTAAAGTCCTTTGATTTAACCATTAGGTCAAACCTATGTCAACAGAATATCCAGTCAAAGCCTGAGTCAAACAGGACCTAACCCAAGTCAAAGTCAAACCTATTCAGTCAATTCATCATTCTCAACAATTCAATTCGAATAATCAATTTAATTCAAGTAACCAATTTAGCCAAATTATAGCATAAACATATATAACGATCCGAACCATTAGATCCATTCTAAACGCTATTAACTTCATAGTACGGACTTGGATTACGTAGAAATCGAATCGATAGCTCGAACGGAAGACAAATCAACGAAATCGAACGAACAACGGGTCAAATAGAGTCAAAACACCGAATCGAACAATTAATCTGGCGTGGAGATTAATCTGCCGGCGGTATCAACCTGGGGCAGCAGCTGGATGCGGCGACGGTGGCGGGCGCCGGCGTACATTGGCGGAGCGGCAGCTGTTGGCGGTCTATCTTGTTCAAAATTGAGGGGACAGAGACAAACCGAAATAGGAAAACTGAAGAAGAAGAATGAGAGACTGACCTGTGCTAAGGGCGACGGCGGCTGGAGGCGACGAACGGCAGTACGAGGAGGTTACCGGCCGGCAATTCGAACGGACGATGGTTGTTCTGGAACCTGGGAACCGTGGTCGGCGGCGCTGACCCTGGTAGTGGGTGACGGACTTCTGGCGAGGGGGAAGCAGCGGCGACTAGCGGTGCCGGAGAAGGACGGCGACCAGCGACCGGCTTATGGCGGCGATCGAAAACGATGAAGATGTAGGACCTCGTGCGGCTCTCAGATCTGAAACGGAAGACGCGTATTGTAGGTTATACGCATACAAAGTAATTCAATATTAATAGGTTTAGGTTTTACTTATTAATCCCAATACTAGTGGTTTGGGCTCCGGGCCCAAAATACCGGATTAAACGACCATAACATGAGCTCCATAACTCCGATTCGCGAGCCGTTTGAACCGACGTGATCACAAAAATATTTCCTACGAGATCACATAAAAGTTGGGCTTAGAATCCAAATTATAATTTTAACCCCTTTTTAGGCCCAATTCGTAATCAATTGCTCTAACAAATTTAATTAATTCTTTTGGGCCAGATTTCGGGGCGTTACATTTCTCCCCCCCTTAAAAAGAATTTCGTCCTCGAAATTACCTGAGTCATTGGTCGCCGAAGAGGTGAGGGTATTGAGTTCGCATAAATTTTTCGGTCTCCGAGGTGGCTTCTTCCACCGCATGGTTACGCCATAGTACCTTTAGCAAAGGTACCGTCTTATTTCTCAGTACCATAGTTTCGCGCGCCAAGATCTTAACTGGCTCTTCTTCGTAGGACAAACTCTCATCGAGGGTAACAGCATTGGTCGGCAACACATGAGTCGGATCTGAACGATATCTACGTAGCATGGAGACATGAAAGACGTCGTGAATCCTGTTCAACTCTGGTGGCAACTCTAGCCTGTAAGCAACAGGTCCTATTCGCTCCAGAATGCGGTAGGGTCCAATGAATCTAGGGCTAAGCTTCCCTCTCTTCCCGAACCGTAGGACCTTCTTCCAAGGTGAAATCTTCAAGAATACCATGTCACCAACATTGTACTCTATGTCTCGTCTCTTTAAGTCTGCATAAGATTTCTATCTGTCCGAAGCGGCGCGGAGTCGGTCTCTGATCCCACGAACCTTCTCCTCGGTATCCTGCACAATATCTGGTCCCTCGAGCTTACGCTCGTTAAGCTCTGTCCAACAAATCGGGGTTCGGAACTTTCTGCCGTAGAGTGCCTCATAACGAGCCATCTGAATACTCGCCTGGTAACTGTTATTATATGCAAACTCCATTAACGGCAAGTAACGCTCCCAATCTTCTCCAAAGTCGATCACACAAGCTCGCATCATATCCTCGACAATCTGTATCACCCTCTCAATCGGTCTGAGGGTGAAATGTCGTACTAAGGTTCAAAGCTGTTCCAAAAGCCTTCTGGAGTCCTCTCTAGAACATCGAAGTGAACCGGGGATCTCTATCGAATATGATTGATAGCGGTGCACCATGCAACCGAACTATCTCTCTAACGTATAAGTCTGCCAATTTGTCCATGGAGGAGTCACGTCTGACGGGGAGAAAATGAGTGGACTTTGTCAACCTATCAACAATGACCCAGATGGCGTCATTCTTTCGTGATGATCGTGGCAATCCGATCACAAAGTCCATAGTGATCCTTTCCCGCTTCCATTTCGGAATGGTAGGAGGGTGCAGCAATCCTGTCGGAACCTGGTGCTCAGTCTTGACTTGCTGACAAGTCAAACAGCGCGCTGTCATCGCGAATTGCAAACTCGGGCCTCTTTCCTGTAGGAATTAACTCTTGAGTCTTCTGACAAAACTCATCACCTCTCTGTGCTGTACGGATCTCCTGCTCTAACGGAGACTGAAGCTGTAGCTCGGCTAACGATTTTCTGCTCAAAGCATCGGCCACGATGTTAGCCTTGCCCGGGTGATACTTAATGACCAAATCGTAATCCTTGATCAGCTCCAACCATCGACGTTGTCTAAGATTCAGTTCCTTCTAGGTGAGTAGGTACCTCAAACTCTTGTGATCGGTGAAGATGTGAATCCTCTCTCCAAAGATGTAGTGGCGCCAAATCTTCAGGGCAAACACCACGACTGCCAACTCTAAATCATGTGTCGGGTAGTTCTCCTCGTGAGTCTTCAACTGTCTCGATGCGTAGGCCACTACTTTACCCAACTGCATCAGTACACAACCTAAGCCGCTATGAGATGCGTCACTATAGATGGTATACTCGATGCCAGGAGTAGGTGGAATCAAGACTGGTGCCTGGGTCAAGCACTCCTTTAGCTCATCAAAACTGTGCTGGCACGCTTCTGTCCACTCAAATTTGATGTCCTTCCGCAGTAGCTTGTTCAATGGAGTAGCGATCGAGGCGAAGCCCTTAACAAATCGACGATAGTAACCGGCTAACCCAAGGAAGCTCCTCACCTCACGAACATTCTGCGGAGTCTTCCAATCCACTATGGCTGAAATCTTGCTGGGGTCTACCTGGATACCGGTGGCAGAGATAACAAGTCCTAAGAATGTCACCTCACTCAACCAAAATTCACACTTGGTCAATTTTGCACACAGCTTGTGCTCCCTCAACACACTCAAAACCAATTGCAAATGTCTAGCATGCTCCTCCTGAGTCCGTGAATAAACCAAGATGTCATCGATGAACACTACTACGAACTGGTCCAAGTATGGTCGGAACACACTATTCATAAGCTCCATTAACACTGCCGGGGCATTAGTCAATCCGAAAGGCATGACTGAGAACTCATAATGCCCATAGCGTGTCCTAAAAGCAGTCTTCGGAATGTCTTCTCTCTTAATGGGAATCTGATGGTACCCAGAACGCAAATCAATCTTCGAGAATACTGTAGCCCCTCTGAGCTCGTCGAACAGGTCGTCGATGCGAGGCAACGGATAACGATTCTTCACTGTGGCTTTGTTCAACTGCCTGTAGTCGATGCAAAGTCTCATGGATCCATCCTTCTGAAAGGTTACCATGCAAGGATAGGCAGCGGAATATAAAAATTTTAACATCCTAACATGATTATCTTGCCCAGAATCACGTACTAAAACATATAGTAGTAAGAAATTTATACCTTTCTCCGTAAGCAGTTAAAACGAAGAAGAAGTCGTAGGAAGAGCGTTGAAAGTGCAAACGTAACCGTTAGAGCGTCCGGTCTCCAACTTTGACACACGAACAACGCCGGAGTCTACCACAATCTTTATGCTAGTAAAGATTATAGTAGTATAAAATATAACGATTAAAATTGGGATAATGATAATCTTGTATATTTCTATAGAAAATATTTCTAATAATATTTAGAAAATATTATAGATATTTTCTATACACAAAATGATATTAATAGAACACAAAGTATTTTCTCTCACTAAAAATGTAATGGCCAAAACTTAAAACAAATTGATGATATCTCCTTCTCTACTTTGCTAATGGTGCGTGAGGTGTATATTTAAAACAAA